CTCTTATTCCACACCTCTCTGCTCACCCGTTCGCCTTCTGCTTTGAATTCTAACCAGATTTGAAAATTGGCTGTCAAATTGGGTATATGATCCAACATTATTAGTGTTTTATTTACTTGCAGATGAACAAACAAAAGTCGACAGAGCCGATCCGACTAAAGCCGATTCTCCTGCCATCGCCGCCCCGGCTACCCGTTAATCAGACTACGCCAAGCAGCCATTTGGTGAGTTAGCATTCTGAAGTGCTGCTGTTCATCCGTATTGATCCGGTAACAAACTTCAATAGGAACACACTAACCAGCGGTTGTCAAACTAGTTTCATAGCGCTCCATCGCCGCCGATTGAAAGCATACGTTGTTGTTTGGTGCTGAGTCCACCTCTTAGCGTTCCTTCGTTGTGAATCTCTGTCTCAACCTGTGGTTTAATCCTTTCGAGTGAGCTGTTGTACTTCAGTTGCATCATCTCCTTATGTATTCACTCCTTTTCCAAAAACCACCAAATTAGTTCATTTACAACATTTAACTCTCGTATCAAACAGCACAACCATGGTTTTAATTCATTTTTTAAACGAGACCTGCATCTGTTGCATGACAAAAATGCTATGACTGGTGACCCCGTCTTTTTTGGAAGTTCTACTAAATTGTGCACCCTGATTGTGGACTATTCCTATCTTTTTACGTTGGCAACTCTAATTCTGCTGTTTTTTTGCGCTCTAATGTCACAAATCATATTTAATCGATATATCGATCCTATTCCAGATGAAGTCTTCCTCTCCTCGCTACTGCCCATATGCGAAACCGGGTACGTCGTCTCCTATCTCGCTGCCATCTATCAACACCGTACTCCCGCCATCATCACCGTATTCGACCCCGGTCTCACCCGCATCAAGCTACTGTACATTCTCACCCGAGTCGGGCACTGTCACTCCACTTTCTCAGCCACTGTTCATACAAACCGACGATTCCTACTGGTACGGTAGCTCTACGCCGTACACGTATGATGT